TACAAGCGTTTCACCTGATCCATCAAATATATGGATGCACATAAGAGTAACATTTAAAACCAATCAAACATTTAATGCTTCACTAAAAGTTGCTAGCCAACAACAGCCTTGTATACAATCAATTGAAGAATATCAAGGGTTATGAACCTCAAGATAACATAATACAAGAACCCATGATATACCTTGCGCTCTCCTATTCCAGGGCAACGAGCTAGATCTTCCATAGATGCATCCATGATATTAGAAAGAGACTGCAAAAGGAGGAAAATCAGCTAACAGAGGAATATAGACAGAAAATAAACAGCTAGCACATACTATCCAGAGCAAAATAAACAACTAGCCACATACTATCTAGGGCAAGATCAATGGCATACCCCAAATGTAGATCCAAGTGTTACCACATCTGTCTTGTTAACACGTCGAACAGTTGTGAGAGCATGGTGTAGCTGCATTAAAACAAAGAACATATTCAGTTTAACCAGTTCAAAGAGTGAATACTTCATGATTTAAGCAACTTTGTTCAAATTCATTGACTGATTTCTGATAGGAGACCAATAACAGGTTGTTACCCGAGATGAATAGTCAGTCTCCATTTGGCCCTGAATAAGGTCTGCAGGCTTGTTTTCATACATTTTTATAGTCTCCAAGTAGCGACCACATTCCTCCAAGCTAGAAAAAACAATACCAAACAAGTTCATCAAGGACTATCATTTCAAGGCCCTTACTCCAAGAGGACAAGTCCACTTGCAATATTGGTCCAACTTTATGAACGAAGTCAACAAAATCAAGTTGCAGATATAAAGAAAGAACAATAAGTAGAGCAAACCATTATAAATTCTGTACAATCTCACTAGATACGAAACACAAGGAAAGATCAATGGAAACATGAGTAGCCTCAGACACAGTGAGTATAAATACTACTTAAAATATAACCCCATTTGCATTGGGATATGCAGCACACCTCCAAGCACATAATAGTGTACAATCATGAAGCAGAGCTGTTTTTGTGACTTCAAGTAAAGGCTTGACTACATCCTCCTGAAATCAATAAGAACAATGGTCGGAGTAGAGCTCTTGAATACATGCAACAAAATGCCACAGTTCACTTTCCTAGTGGAAACCAGGCTTTGTTTTGCATATTAAATCAGCAGAGTTATGGCTATAGAAGGCGAGAAACTCAATGCATGGAAAGAGCAGCTTACCACATCAACATGGCATAGAACAACACGAAGCTTGCAGTTCTTTTGTAGCTCTCTTATACGGTAATATAGGTAGTCTGGATGGAGTAAATGATATCGAAGACTGCATCAAATTGCAAATTCTCAAAGTTAGCTTGTGGTAGGAATAAGCAATGACGAGGACATGCAATACATTAATGTTTAATAGAGTTACAAATTTGGTTATGCTCAAGAATATATTCTGGTGGTGTCATCTATCTCACACTTGAAAATGGTAAATGGGATAAAGATATCAAAAGAGTAAAGCCTATAGAAAATCTGTAAGTAACTTGGGAACTGGACTAGATCTCAGTACTTATTTCAGTATGGAGAATAATAAAAATCGACATCATCAAGGCAGCTATTTTAAAGAATAAGAACAATTTTCTAGCTTTACCTTCAAACCGGTATAGTAACAAGTTAAAATCAAATAATTAAAAAGCAGCCAAGAACTCAAACTCATACATTTGCAATGACAAACAGGACAGAAGGAGAGGAAGGTCGAACCTTAGATAAAGAGCACATGAGCTCTGTCCAAGCAAATAGTCACAAACAACATCCGCAAATGCCCACTTTACATTCCTAATATGTTTAAGCAAGGGGTTTCCCTTCTGCGCAATGACTAGGCAAACTTAAATTCAGGCCAATCTATGGAAGTACAATTCAACAAAATCTAAATAACCACTCACTATGAAACTCAGTAAAGCACGAAACTTGAGACACAATTCTTGTTCGAAAAAATAATTGTACATGAAAATAGGAGTACTAAAACAACCAAGAACAAATCAAAAGGCTAATGCATGACTTCCAAAGAAAACCTTTAAAAAACTTTGATATTTATAAAAATGTCTTAAAACATAAGTAAACCTTCACCTGTCTATGACTAACAAGAATAGCATTGCGACTCTGATTACTCTGCACTGAAGATGAAGCCACTCCACCACCAAAAGAAGCAGCAGAAGCTGATGCCAATGGAGAAGGTGAAACCTTTTCACTATTTTCATTCAAAAATAATAACTTTATCACAAAAAGTCTCCTCAAAATTAAAAAGAACAATCCCAGAACAGAAAACAAAAGAAAACCCGTTAATATAAAATACCTCGTGGTTGCAGAACTACTAGGCCCATGTTCAGATTTTGAAGTTGGAGGAGGAGAGTAGAATTCAGAGTTTTTAATAAAGGAGAAAGCTTGAGAGAAAGTTTGTGATGGCTTAAATAATGAAGATTCTTTTGTTTGTGTAGGTTTAACTTGTGAGCTTTCAATTACTTCTTGGTAGGATGGTATTTGTATTAGTACTTTTTTGTTTTGTTTTGATGAATTTGTGTTTTGCTCTTCTCCTCTTTCATCTCTCTCCATCTTCGATTACCGATTGTTTGTTTCTCGGGAAAATTTAACCAAGAAAGAGAATTTTTCCATGGGATGATAGACTAGGCCTATAAACCGGGCCATTGGGCTCTAACATTAGATTCTCAGCCCATTTTTTCTAGGCCTGGCTTCTAGGCTCAGTTGATTCAAACAGCCGACATGTCTTCCGCTAGACATTGCTCTTAAAGGGTCAAGATTGGTCTGCCTAGAGTGATCGGCTGCTCTGTTTAACCAGGAATTCTATTCACCATCAGGAGGGAACAGTTATTTGCGGTTGCAACACCTTACAAATATTATTCTGGGTTGTTAAGAAGTGTCATTGAAGTTTTTTTTTTTAAAAAAAGATTATAGAAAAATACATAAAATTTGCGGTTGCAACACATTACAAATATTATTCTGGGTTGTTTAGAAGTGTAATTGAAGTTTAAAAAAAAAAGATTATAGAAAAATACATAAAAATAATATTTTTTATTTTTTAAAAATTATTTTTAATATTGGTATATTAAAATATTCTTAAAACACTAAAAAAAATTAATTTAAAACAAAAAAACAAAAAAATATTTTTTTCAAAATATTTTTAAAATATTCTATTGTTTAGACCACTAAGGTCAAGATATTTTCAAAATATTCTATTGTTTAGACCACTAAGGGGATGCATTATCAATTCAATTTGGCTAGAAGGAAGTGCAAAACTCAATAGGAAAGAGTGAAGAATATTGTCATAATGATTTATTCTTTGAAGTCAAAGATAAACTGTTTAGTGAAAAAAACACAAAGAAAAAGAGTCTGATCACCAAACTTTCTCAGTGCCAAGATCAAGTTCAAGAAGCAATGCAGCAGTCTCAAGTCACAAACAACTTAGGTTCACTGCACAAATATTAGGCAGCAAAACAAATTAGTCACTGTTCCTTGTCAATGGCAATTGGCAAATGCATATAATTTCCATGATCACAGCCCCAGATTGACCGTTATAGAGCTTGGAAAGACTTTCTATTTTTTTAGAAGACCGACCATTTGACCTGGGTAGTATCCCACAAATGGCTGACCAAGTCGCTGGAGCTCTTGTGTGCTCGGACATTTGATAACTTTAGTTATTTTTTTGTTTTTATTAATGTTTGGTATTTAAGATATTTTATGCATATCACAATTAATCTCATGAACTTTAAAATTAATAACAATATAAATCTTTAATAATTTTAAAAGAAATCAAACTTATAATTATTAAAAAATAAACTCAAGATATAATTAGTTAAATTAGCTTTACTCATTCTTTGTAAGAGGCTTAGCTTCTCGAAAACTTGACTAAGGGAAAGTGATATCGAACAAGGATCAAGCATAGTTATTTGTAATTACTGAGAAGCAAACTCAAGATCTTAGTTTCCATTATTAGCTTTAGTCATTCTTTATAAGAGGCTGAGGTCCTCGAAAACTTGGCTAAGGGAAGGTGATATCGAACAAGGATCAAGCATAGTTATGAACTTCTGGAATTCCAGTTCCTTTAATTGTTAGGTTGGTTGCCATTTCATGTGTGCTCGGACATTTGATAACTTTAGTTATTTTTTTGTTTTTATTAATGTTTGGTATTTAAGATATTTTATGCATATCACAATTAATCTCATGAACTTTAAAATTAATAACAATATAAATCTTTAATAATTTTAAAAGAAATCAAACTTATAATTATTAAAAAATAAACTCAAGATATAATTAGTTAAATTAGCTTTACTCATTCTTTGTAAGAGGCTTAGCTTCTCGAAAACTTGACTAAGGGAAAGTGATATCGAACAAGGATCAAGCATAGTTAGGAACTTCTGGAATTCCAGATACTTTAATTTGATCAAAATATTATTACTTCTGGGCAATGAAATGGACAAATGACTCTTCAGAATTCAGCATGCTTGGTCCTTGTTCGATATTAATACCCCTTAGCTAAGTTCTGGTGCGATGAATTCTCTGACCATCTATCCATTTTCTCCAACCCCAATTCATGAAAACAACACCAATTAGATTCCTTAAAGATTTGCAAGACAAGGGCAGATGAGAGATGAAGCAATCACATATGGGATTATTTGTAATAATCACCCATAAATCTAGTAAACCTTCTTAATAATCAATGCCTGCAAAACCCAATTCAAGATTGATTCGGATAGTAAATCAAGTGAATTAACCCTATCGATATAAGTTTTGATTTTTTTTTTATTTTTTAAAACAAGATCTTGAAACAAAATTGTTATGATTTGGTTTAAATCTCGAGCCCACAGGCTAGAGAGTTGACTTGGTAGGTTAAGTCTTTTAATATAGTCTGAAATTGCATTTGCTCATGGGCACAAAATTGCTGAAAAAAAGGGGAATGACCATTGCCTAAAACTCCGAGGGTCCTTCCACGAAATGTCTAGCAACTGAAACATGGCAAAAGTCTAAACCAGCAAGCAATATCGCTTTGATTCTTTGGCAAAAATCCCATGATGTTTTAACTTGCAATTGGAAAAAATATATATATATAAAAAATAAATTAGAGGGTCGTTATCTCAATTTGACTTGACCTCTTCCATTTTGACGATCCTATATTATATTACACAATTTATAAAATAAAAAATAAAAAAATACATATAAAAAAAAGTGGGCAAACAGGACTGCCCCACTAAACCAGTGATCTGCTCGATTCACCCGCATTCGATCCAGCCTGTCTAGATGAATCCCCTTGGCTGCCATTAGCAGCCACTTTTGGTGACCTAACCGACGTCGAAGCTCTCGACAGAAATGACGACGCTCTTGCTAGAAATGACGGGTTCCGACTAAAAACCCACCCGTCCGACCTTGCTTCTTGGTCCAGTTTCTCAAGTCGCTTATAATTTAACACCTTCCTAGGACTCCCCTCACCAACTCCGCTCTTGTTCCCCTTCACCGAACTTCCTTGTCTGGACAACACCACCATGCTCATCGCCCGGCTCAACTTCCGGTTCATCACTTGTTTCCTAACCTCAACCGGCAATCTCAAAGTAAACCGATCGGTATTCTCTCCTGGTTGAACCACAGAATGTCCGGTCGAATGTGACCTAGGAAGCCTCAATGGCCTACCCGATCTCGACCCACGTGTCCGGTTCCTGTTCAAAGTTTTAACCACACTCACACCCATAACATCAGGCTCCGGTCCAACCACTTCCACATTAGCATTCCCGTTTTCTGGCTCGTCCATCACTGCCCCATTTTGAGCCTCCAGGTCCAGCTCGGGGTCGTGCGACTCACCGAGTTGAGGGACCGAGTCAGCAGGCTTTGTCAAATCCGCTCTGCAGACAGGACAGGTGGTGTGAGACTCCAGCCAAGCACCGATGCAATCAGGATGGAACACGTGGTCACAGTTAGGAATCAAACGCAGCGTTTCATCCTCTTCAAATTCGTTTAAACAAACGGCGCATTCTAACGCGCCTTTACCAATCTTCAAGCCTTTCACGACCGAGTAAATTAACGTGGGAAACGTCTCGATAACGGCAGGATCAAGCCCACGCGAGGCGGCGAGGCGTCGAGAGAGTCCGCCCATACCCAGCGGCCGTATACTCCCGTTGCCGCTGGCTTCGTTGCAATGGCGGATGTAGATTGAAAAGAACCCCATGATGAAGAAATCTCGAGTGCTAAACTAGAAAGCCTTTGCGCCATATCCACAAGCCTTGATCACAAAATGATATGCTCCAGTCGTGATCACGCATTAATTCTTTTTTATGTGGGACTTTTAATCTGAAAACATTAATTTAATCAAAATTTTATTGCACCATTCATTTAGAGGGCTTACGATGCGCATCTACAAGTTTTCCTTCGGCTCCTTACAAATTAAGTGGGGCAAGTGCATCCTTTTTCCCTTTTCGGTGGTGTTGAAGTAATAGTAAACAATCCTTGAAAAGGGATCGGTGCCTCTTTCGCTATTTTCTCAACCACAAACCACCCCTGGGTCGTTCTTTATATATCTAACCAAGTTTAAAAAAAGGCCGTCTCTTACTCTGAAAAAAGTGCTTGTAACAAAGAGGTAGGAAAAATGCAACCAACAAAAAGTGCAGGTATAGTGATTACCAGCAGAAACCTTTAGGTTAGTGTCTTCTTACACGATATTTAGTACCCAGAATATCACATATTTTATAGAAGAGAGATACTTAACAATCTAACACAGATTAATTTCTTTTGATTCCTCTAGGTTAGGTTAGATTCCGAGTTTAATTTCTTCCCTAGTATTGAACAATCTAACACAGATTCAAAAATCAAATTAACTGTTAGTTTATCACCATCTAGTCCCACAATCGTTTTTTTTTCATCAATAAAAATATACTCGTCTTTTTCATGAAAAATCAAAACTTGTCTCAAGCAAACGAGAAATACTTAACCATTTTCATGAGATGGATTGGAAAAACCATAACATCTCATAGCTTGAGACGCCCATGTCGTATTCATGCATTAGGCATCTTCACCTCACTTTTCCTAGGTTGATAAAAAATTTTAAAGGGCACTTTCAATCTAGATAGAATAATCTAATCAAAACCCAATCATTTGAAAGGTTAACGCTATGCATCTTCCGTTGGATCTTTCCAAACCAAGATTAATCCTGAGGCGGGCAAGTGCATAATCCTTGAAAAAGAACCATGTGCCTCTTCCGCTATTTCTCAGCCA